CAAACTATTTGCAATGCTAGAAAATATATATTTAAGAGATGGAAATGGCCTTTTTTAATTACATGTAGATACGAACCACTAATTAAGTTAATAAATAGGATGGAGTGGAGAAATGTGTACTTGGGGTAAATGTAGATTTAAAAATGTAGAAATGATAGCTAGCGTTCCCTAGTGATTGTATATTATACCAAAGTGAAGAGCATATATTGGAAGCAAAAAAATTTTTTTTGACTGTCCTTCCCCCTACACTTGTACAGTGCTTATTTAGAGATATGTTTTTAATCAAAATATTTCATAAAGGAAAAAATCTGTCTTTAATATTGAGGTTGCAGGAAGACAGAGAAAAAAATTGAACCAATTCAATTTGCGAAAATTCAGAGAGTTAAATGAAAATGCGACCTACGCTGTATTTAAGCGACTTTTGCTCTATCCGAGGAAAATGTGACGAAAAAAAATCTTTTTTGAGAAAATGTTGAATGTGTTGTTGAGGCTTCATATAAAGTACCCTCGAAACTCAAAATATCCATTTCAAATTCAAAGGCCGGGATATCTGTCAATTCGACAGTTGATATCAACTTTGGTGAAAATCCGACTTACGGTTTAGCTGCTAGCGTTGTTTACAGAGGGACAGACGTATTGACGAACTGACGTTTTGCCGTAATCTAATTAATTTCTTTGTATCAAGGACACACCAAAATGGATTGTGACTACAAGTAGTTTATTACATATAGAAACAAAATTTACCCACATTTTCGTTACTAGCTACATGCATTTCGTTACTAGCAACATGTTTTTATTTCAAAGTGGCCATTTTTTCGCAGCAATGCAATGCTTTATCTATACTGCGTAAGCAGAATGCAAGAGTACCTGGTGGTACCATGGCTTTGTATGGCAAAGACTTTCTCGAATTAGTAGTTTTCTAAACCATTTGGTCTGGGTCAGATTTTCGGCTTTGACCCACTCTCTTCCCCGCTACCATCTCCTTGGGCACCCGCCCAAAGGACATTTTTTTTCGCAATTTCTCAGTTTCTAATTACCTGAAATAGGAATATTACCAAAGAGTAAAACTTGGTCCTATATGTACATTTTCTTTGAAAAATATTAAGACAATTTGAGATTTTTTTTGTTTCCTTAATTTTAAGTCGCTTTTGATAAGCAAGGTCATCAATAACTTCTTATCCACATATAGTACATTATATATTTTAAATTACATTACACTAAATATTAGGATTTCTCTACGCGGCCCCGGGTTCGATTCCCTTGAAATGACCCAATATATGTTGCTGTGTGACGATGATAACATTCACTTCTCAGAGTGAGAAGACCGGAATACGGTATGGGGATGTCTGCTAACCACACGTCTGTAGGCCTGAGTCCATTCACGGGCTGTCGCGCCAAGTACATACCTACATACATACAAATATTAGGATTTGAAAGTATATATTTCATTATATTAATGTCTTCTTTATTGTTTTACAACAATAATGCTGTGTTTGAAAAGTGTCTTCAAATGAATTTGAAGAAACCAATACATTTAAAAAAAATTATAGTCTTCATTCAACACATTTTATTATTTAAACATTCATATAATTCTTTAGGAAGACGTAGGTTATCTCTAAATGACTTAAATTTTGGACACTCATTAATAATATGTTTTATCGCTATTCTGTATTACAGATTTCACACATTTGTTTTCATGTTCTTAAAAATAGAAAGGCGTGAGTAACATTGATGTGTCCTATTCTCAACCTAGTTACATTTATCTGGTCTCTTCGGGCTTCTAAAATTGTGGATTTTTTCTCAAATATGAAAGTTCGAACTTCCTGTAATTTTGTAATAGTATTTTTCCAAGAATTATCCCAATGTTTTAAAATTTAAAATTTGAGAAAATGTTATTAGAACGTTTCTGAAAGTGTGCATTTCAATCTAATTTTTATAGACAACTTTTGAAAACTTCATTCGAAATAACTTGAAGCACTTTTACTAGTGTATTTAATTATATTCTTATACGAAATTTAAAGAATATATTTGGAGCAATTTTTCAGAAAAGTTTGAACGTGTTCTGGTAGCTTCATTGAAAGTACTCTCAAAATTAAAAAAAAAAATGTTTTCAAAAACACGGAGCTTGTTGTTGGACCAGATTAGTCACAGAAAATTAATTTAGGAAAAGAGTCTACGAATAGTTTAGGTGATAGTGTTGTTCACAGGCGGACACATGGACCGGTTAAAAATGAAATAACAAATGGTTCTTCAAAAGTTACATTTTTTAAAATTTTCTCAAAGTTTTGGTTTCCTACTTGTGAACGGAAATGTTATTTTAAGATTATTATACAACAGTAAAACCTTGCCCTAAATGGCAATTTTCTATGGAACATTTGGAGCCGTTTTTATGAAAATGGCGTTGAAGAGCGTCTGTAAATTCGAAATTTCGAGCCTTTTTTCACAAAAAGTTTTTGACAAACTTTATTAGAGGTCATTTAACACACATTAACTAACAAATACAATAGTGTTTCCTAATTGATGTAAAAGTGCATATAAACGGCGTGAGTGATCTTCCAAAAAAATTACAAATGAACTTTATGTCATATTAAACAGTGCACTATCCCTTCCAAAAGTTTGAGAAAAAGAATTGGAGCCGTTTTAGAGAAAATGGCGTTTGAGCGCTTCTGAAAATGCAAACATTTGAGCTAGTTTTCACAGAAATTGGTTAAGTTTTCGAGAAACTTATTATTTAAAGCATATGTACTCACAAATATAATAATGTGAAAAACATCGCCACTTATATAAATATTAACGACGTGAGAGAAACAAAAAATTACATTTTTGTAATATTTAAAAAAACCAAAAGAATAGAGCAATGTGGCGTTTATATTACCTCATAGAGTACATTTTGCACTAACCCTACCAAAAGTTTAAAGGAAAAAATTGGAGCCGTTTTGAATGTCTATTCTTGTTTTTGTAATTTTTAAAAATTGCAAATATTCAACGCAATATTGCACGATAACAACTACAATTTTCAAAAAAATGTACATTATCTTAATCAAAGGACTAATTATAGGGAACAAATTTAATTTAAAGGAAAACGCTGTATCCTCAATTTTGTAGTTGAAGGAAGATGCCGAAAAATATTCAAACTTCTGCAATTTTCGATGATTCAGAGTTAACCGTGAAAATAGGACTTATTCCACCTTTATAGGTAAATATAACTCTATTTTATATGAAATTTAAAGAAAAAATAGAGCCCTATTTAAGAAATTTTGAAAATTTTCGCGATCCTTCATGTAAAGTATTTCCAATTTTGAAGAAAATTTATCAAAACCGTGGTGCTTCGTTTGGAGCAAAATTGACGGGAGAATATATCTTTTGGAAAAAATCGTACGTATGTTTTCGGTACTAGTATTGTTCACAGACTGACAGACAGTGGGATAGACGGACGGATGTTTTGCCGTGAATTGATTGTTCGGTAACAAGGACCCACGAAACTGGCTTTCTGGCTACACCACGTGTTAGATATTGTACCTTGGCAAACGTTATTTTCTGTCATAAATATTATAAGATGTAGTTACAGAAAAAGGATGACTGATGAGTCCAGCTTAGAGTTAGAACTTTTGAGCCCGATATACTACACTTAAAAATATAACAAAAATCATATTAATAAAAGTTAGAATTAGAATACACTTTTATGGCAAAATGTACATTACATTTTGTAATAAATTATACATTTATTTTTTTAACTTTTAAGCTAACTTCTTAATTTAATAATAATTTATAACAATTAAATATTTATTGTCTATTTTCATTTAAGAATTTCCCGATACGCCAGAGATTGGACAAAAGTACTGTAATTGTAATATTTGGCACGCGTAGTTATTGAGGTTTGCTACTGCTGAAGTAGATCATGCACTATGATCGCGTATCACCATCCTACCAAATGACTCACAAGAGGAAACGTTATCTCGCTCTGAATGTCACGACATTGGGTAGTAGGGGGTGCTATCAGATAAAAGCAGTTCTACTGAGCGTTTGGGCCATTACGTTGGAGAAGGTTCAACCATGTCGAACGGAAAATCTTTGTTGGTGCTTTGTTCATTGGCAGTTGTGGCGGCTGTCGCCGTACATTCTGCCAGTGGTGCGGCTGCCACCAATCCGCAAGCGCGAGTAGGTAAGAAAGTGAGGTGGAATTTATTAATTGCAAATTCATTAGAAATTAATTCATTTATTGTTGGCAAGTAACACTAGTGGTGCTAAAACAGCACATAATTTCTCGCATTATTTCAAACTTATGGAATATTCGAAAATTCAAAGAATGAATAAGATACCCCTATCTTCGAATCATTTCTAGTACTATTAACAGAAAAAATGTAAAGTAAAACTTGGAACCGTTTTTTAGAAAATGTCTTAATTGTAATAACTTCAAAAAACGTACATGAAATTACAAGAACAACACGAAATATACGAAAATAAATTACACTTTTTTGAAATAACTGTTCCTGATCTTTTTCAAAAATCTAAGATTTTGGAACATATTTTATTTAACAAAAAATATCTATTATTATTGTAAGATATTATTAATATTGCAAATTATTAATATCGTACTTTTGCAAAGTTAATTTTTTGCAGTTTTTAAAAATACGGAGAGTTTGTCGAAAATGGGATCCATAGCCTTTTGCTACACATGAAGAGAGAATTTAAAGAAACAAAATTGTAGCCGTTTTTAAGAAAATCTTGTTTTCAATCATTTTAATATTGCCACTGGAAGTTGCGCATAGACTGCTGATACTTTTAAAACACCAAGACTGGAGCGAAGCGGGCTCGATTGGCGCGGGGGGTTGGCGCGAGGACGTAGGCTCTGTTTCGCACACCGACACAAAGAGAGAAAGCATGGCTCATTGTCTTCCAAATGCTTTTTGGTGTTCTTTAACGTCTAGTAACTTCCAAACCCGTTTCATTTCTCCACAAATATGTTCAATACAACCAAACAATGAATTTTGAAATCAGACATGACGGTGCGGCTCAAATGCGAGTCGTTAAAAGTGGGGATGCAATTTTACCCGACTACAATGAATACTTGAATTGTTCAAAGGAGAGTTCTTAAAGCAGAGATTTCAAGCTTTAACGTTATCGAAATAAAAAGTATTGTGAATAAAAATTTACGGAGTTTTGCCGAGTTGAAAAGATTTTTTCTATAGTTTTAACATGAAATTGGTCGAATTCCGACTATTGTAACCCACTGTTTGAGTCAAAGAAGTAACGTTTGATGATCAGAAAATTGTGGAAAACAAACGTTTTCGTTAAGACATTGAATTCATTTTTTTGATACAGCCTAATACATATTCTTCCCGATCATAATACAATGGTTGCCAGGAATGTTGCGAGCTGCTTCCCCATCACTACTACGCAATTTCCCCCAAAAGCTCTTCAATCAAAGAAAATTCTCAACTATGAAATGAAAAATATTCTCCAAATTGTGGACAAACGACATGAACTCTCTGATGATTCTCCTTAAATAACCTGAGCTAACCAGACAATTTCGTTATACACTCAGTTCTTTACAATTAGATCATAAAATAACGTCACTGAAAATCTGTGAATTTGCAAATGCATATATTCGACTTCGTTTTTAAAGCGTTGGGAAAACTACGTTTACCTGAGTGTATGGGGTGCTAATCGGGAAATCCCGCGTTCGAATCCCAGAGTTGAAATTTTTTTTCCTGTTAGAAAACACCTTTGTGGATTCAAATAGTATTATAATTTGCATAGCCGTTACAAACAATGCGAGATTATGTGCGCTTTTATTACATCACTGTTATATATTTGTAGCCAACAAAGACTACATGACCTTTAGATGAAATAAACAACATTAGCTCCATCTTGTTACTGCGATGTTCTTGATGCTCTTGCCTGATAGATCCTTTTCCACCTTTGAATAATAGAGATGTTTAGATGAATGCAGAGCTATGTAGTCATGTGATTATATATCGTTGCATCTTTTGGTTTTATGTTTTGTTAAAATTTTGTGGTTTATCATTATTCAACTAAGTGTTTTATTTCATTGTAGCTCTTGGTGGTGCCTGTAACAACAAAACTCTTAACTGTACGACACCGAACTCTGTGTGTTCGGCAAACAGATTGTGTATATGCGAAGACGGTTATGAAATTAACCAAAATAATCGTTCTGCGTGTGTTAGCAGTGAGTATATAATTCTAGACAAAATTTGACTGACTTTTGAATTACTTTGTTTGCACAATCAAAGTACTTATAAAAGAATAAAATATGTATACTAAAGAACTTAAAAGTGTTTTGGGGTATTTCCTTTTTTGTATTATTAAAAAGATTGCATGATTGATAATGAATTTTCATAGTTTTAACTATCTCGAGTGTTAATGATTACAGTATACAACTGATTTCTACGTATTAATAGATAGGCTCTTGTTGACCAAAGGCCAGCAAGAAAGTATGTTCCTCCGAGATTTAGCATAAAGTTAAACACTTAGGGGAAATTCGAGCGAAACATTTTAAAAATGCATATAGCTCAATAAGGTATATGAAACAACTTTTGCAAAATGAACTGTGAATCCTTTTATTTCAATTCATATTACTTTATTCATTACATAGTCGGTTAAATTATTTCGTTAATAGTTAGGTAATGAAGCTATTTATTTAAAAACAATGTTCGTAATTATGTAAGTATTTAAAATTAATATAAAATTTTATTATTGCATTGGTAGAAGTTTTTAATATCTGACAACGTAAATATATTGTCTTTAAATACTATTATAATAAAATAAATAATATTGTAATAAGATCTTTTCTATAAAAAGCATATTGCTTTGTTAATAAAATTTGCATACTACATTATTAATAATAAAAATATTTAGTATTGTTCTCATGAGTTTCACAACATAAGTTTTTCATTTAATTAAAGGTAATAAATATTACATTAATTTCAGACATTAATGATTGAAGAAGAAATTAGTTTTATAAAACATACTTTTTTCACTAATACAAAGTTTTTGTAATATAATAATTAATTCAATAAATACGAGGGTTGCCTTTTATATTTCAGGATTAGAGAGCAAAAACAAATATTAATCATAGAAAATCACTTTATTGTATTTCAAAATATTCCCCGTGAAGATCTATATACTTTTGCATGTGTTTGAACCAATTGTCGAAGCACTTTTGCCACAATGATTGAGGTATCTCCAAAACATGCATTCTGAATGCAGCAACCGCTTCTTCAGGTGTCGAAAAACTTGACGGTTCAGTTGTTTTGTAGAGTACGGAATAAAAGAAGTCATTCGGTGCCAAGTTAGGACTATACGGCGGATAACTTCATCAAATCGATGTTTTGGGTGCCAAAAATGCAGTTGTCTGAGCGAATGTGTGAGAGCTCGCATTGTCGTGGCGAAGAAGTGAATCCGTCTTTTGGGCGGTTGGTTTTCCTGATTTTCTTGGAAGACAGCTGCAAACAAATCGTTGTGTACCACTCAGAATTGACTGTTCAATAATTATTATTATTAATCTGATTTTGTGGCGCAATCAGTTAATAATTATTATTTTACATAATTTATTATTATTATTACTATTATTATTATTGATTAATTATTATTTATTATTATTATTATATTATTATTATTGGTTATTACTTTGACGCATCAGACTGCAGGTTCGAATATGTCAGACATGATCGTATTTGTGATTGTTTCTTCGCTCCTAATTATCATCCTATACCTCTTAATTTATAATTCAAGGCGTCACAACTTTGTCTTACCGAGGGGTACATGTAAAACGCTAATCCCTATAGTTACACGGTCAACGTCAGCCTTTAAAGTGTTCAGCCGATTTTCTCAAGACTACATTCCCCGATCAATCTGAATGAACTCAAGGTCCCTTTACTTTGAAATGAATATTTTAATTTTAGGGAGTTCTAGACATAACGAATCAACATTTTCAATATTTTATACAAAATGACTCCATATTTTTGGGTTAAATTTGTTTTGGGATAGATTATAAAATGCATACTAGATTGTTGCGGGTATCATTTTAATTAGATTCCCTGACTTAAAAATTGCACAACCTGAGCATTTTTTAGCATCTTTCTGGACTACAAAATTATGATAGAAATGCTTCCCTTAATGAAATATATTTATAAAAATAGGTATTGAAAAATTCCGCAATAGATGTGTGGAAAATTCGAATGTTTTCCAATTTTCGAAAATACAGAGTGTGCTCGGAATATGAGACCAGCACCACTTTCTTTACCGTTCTTTGTTACATTCGTGAAAATGCTTTAAAGAAAAAATTCAAAGCGCTTCCGAGAAAATAATTGTTTAAAATTTTAAAATTGCCTTTTTAACGCATAAACTTCTCACATTTTTGAAAAATTGAATATGGTTTGATATGATGATCTATTTTGTTGAACACATTTCATTAAGAAAAATTATCTTCATAATTGTAATTTGAAAGAACACGCCGATTTTTTTAAAATTGCAATTTTCGAAAAATAAGGGATTTCAACGAAAATGAGACGATCATAATTTTCCTAATAGTCTTTTGCGCTATCCAAGGCTAAAATCTAATCATCAAATGGTGCCGTTTTTGAGAAAAAAATATTTAAAAAAATTAAAAATTGTCTATACTTTGCGCAAAACTATGCGAACTCTAGTACAATTTTAGAAAAATTGTACACGTTTATTTGGTTTATTTTAACGTTTTAGGGAATTAAATAAAATTATATTACTGTAATCTTTGCATTTTGTATGCGCAGTTTGAAATATATTCCTTGCTTAATGATTGAAAGAATACTTTCATTTTGTTATTAATACGCATGTCATAACTAGATATCGTATGTTTAAGAAAATGCCTATTTTATTATAATGAAAATATTTAAATGCAACTAATATATGAAAATGAATTATGGAAAATTAAACATTTTGACGAACTTTTATATTGCCCTTTTTGCCTGTTTTTGGTATTTTATGGCATAAAACACTTTTTAATCATATTTTTCTTTTTAAACACTTTTTTCCTTGAAATTTATGTGTATTTCTTTTGCGTCTTGGTTTCCAAAACACGTTGAAATCATTTTCAGTTTTATTAATAACATTAATTGTCTACTAGTAACGAATCTCCATTTTTGGTCTACACTAAAGATGTCATTTGGGTTTGCACGTTTCGTTGAATTTTTGGAGCCCAAAAGCTTGCGTTGTGGCTTCAGATCGCATTTCTTTGCACAAATAACAAACAAACAAACAAGCGCTGTACTCTGGGCTCTTGGTAGAGCGGTAGCACATACGTGAGTGCTGAGCCCAGATATGCGACGTAATCGAAGCACTAGTGTCTCAGAGGGCAAGGTGATGATTCTGACATTGATATCTCTCCGTGCTAGATGGTCTTTTGGGAAGTGCGTAGTGTAGGCCGATTATAAGGACATTGTCGGGCGTGAGGTGCGTCTTTATTCTGCCGGCAATTGCCTGAGTTGTGCACCGCTCGAAGTACTTCACTAGATCCTCTAAGCGTAGTAACAGAGCTCAGTCGTGTGAAGATGCCAAAGTCACTCATTCACTAACGACTTATTTTCCCAAGTAATATTGTTATTTGATATTGGAAAATTGTAGGTGTAAGTGCGATGAAATATATATTGGTTCTTTTTCCCCCACGATTTTAAGTTTTTATTGACGTTTTCGGTACTTATTTAAAAATGTACCTTTTTAGGCGCCTGAAACGTAAGTTTTTAGTGCCGTAACATCCGATGTCTAGTCATAACAATAACTAAGTTCCATGATCTTTTTACTTGTCTTTTTATTTTGTTTTGACTACATAATTTTATATTGTATTTACCTCACAGAACTCAACAGTAAATGCAATGCAACTCGCCCTTGCAATCGACCTGGAGCAGAATGTGTCAACAATGAATGCAGGTGCAGAACGGATCACGTTGTATCGTCCAATAAAACGCATTGCTTACCAAGTAAGTAAAAAGTGATCAATGACATATTCGCACTAGTCTCTTTACCTTCGGATTCTTGAAATATTTTTATATTAAGATAAAGATTTTTAGGTTTAAGTGTTTGGTCTGCGCTATGAGGAATTCCGAAAACCTATTTTTATTAGATTTATTTAGTTAATTTTCAAATATGCGATCTTACACAGATTCTGTGATGAGTCGTCTCTCTGTCCGTCGATCGTCTGTCTGTCTGTCTGTGCACAGCGGTAGCGCATAAACCGGTTTTCTCCAAAATTGATATTCCTTAATAGTTTTGGCTGATGCCAGGGCCCCTGGAATTTAAAACCGATATTTTAATTTTGGGGGTATTTTACATTATGCCCCTCGAACATTTTCAAAATTTTCCAAAAAAAAAAAAAAGAAACGCTCCAATTTTTTTGATAAAATTTTGTTGTTGAATTTGAACGTTTAAGATACGAGTGGTGCAGGCCACATTTTAGTTGAATTCCCAGATTCCCAGCTTGTTCTGCAGTTGTGCCCGCGCATTGTGCAGGTCACACGCGCGCGGCAGATTTAAAAGATCTCCTCATACAGGTTAACATTGGGTATGTTGTGCGAAGTAAAAGTGGTCCTATTGGTCATGATATTTTCGAAAAATTGTACATAATCTTATTTCAACATCTATCTTTAAGAAACAGAATTCATTAAGAGAGAAGATATATCTTTAACTTTTTATTTGTAGGAAGACTCCGAAAAAAATTGGAACTTTTGCTATTTTCGAAAAATCAAAATATTAATGAACATGAGATCTGCACAATTCTCTTAAATATTCCTCACACTATCCAACAACAAAATTTAATAAAAGACATGGAGCCATTTTTTTGGAAAATTTTGTATATATCCCAGAGGCTTAAGGTACCCCCAAGGGGTACCACCCAAGTCCTAGGGGTAAAGTACTTCCCAAAATTAAAATATCGTTTAATAAATTCAATGGTTCACGACATCAGCCAGATCGATTTGGGAATATCAATTTTGGAAAAAAATATGCTGAGCGCTTTAGCAACAAACGTTGTTCACAGACGGACAGACAGACGTTTAGTCGTCATTCACTTTTTCGGTATCAAGGATCCAAAACACATGGGTTATGGCTACACCACGTGTTAGAGAATTTTATCTAAATTTAACTAGATTTATCCACTTTTTTTGTTACCAGCGCCATTTAATAAGAGATTTTCTGCCAAACATTTTCCGTTTTTCAAGCAGGATTACATAACTTTATCACTACTCCGTAGCAAGAAAGTAAAACGAATGCTATAAGATGTTTTAAAGGATTATTGGTCTTCATTTTACTGACAACGGGTTGGATATTCATCGATTTTTGAAATATAAACACGAACAATCACTTTGCTCATTTTAACTCGCATTGATACCACTTTTAACCACCATGAATATAAATAGTTGTTTAGTCTTGTCATTTGATAATGCGTGTTTACCATTGGCAAATAAAAAAATCTATTACGATTTGTTTCAGTTGCAACCTCACTGAATAGCCAATGCACAGAAGAGCTGCAATGCAGTAGACTTGTTAACAGCAGATGTTGGGGAGGTGCTTGCATTTGTAAAGACCATACTTTCCAAAGTAGTAATACAGCATGTGAAGGTAAGTACCAACATTACTCACAAATAAAGTAATCTATGAATTGTAATTAGTTAAAACTTGGTTTTCTTATTCCGTGATTATGTCATAATATTCTGGGGAAAACAGACTTTTAGATTATTTTAGATTACAGAAAAGAATTGTACGATTAATAAGCAAATTCTAACCAACGTGATTCTTTTTAAAGCCTCTCTTTAATGTTAAAGAAATTATTCCATTGCCTTCCTTATTGATTAACGAAGCAGTAATTTTTGTTGAAAAGGAGTTACTCAAGGGTGGGAAAATATTTTAAAAGAATACAGATATCTATAATTATAATTATCGTCACAGTAATCTTATCAATTAGATGCCATTATCAATTATTACGTTGTTATCATCAGATTACTACAACAAAACCTCATACAACACATGAATATTATTTTACAACTCATTTAAACGTGCTATTAAGCAATTAAAATTAATCCACAAGTTTAAGTGCCAAGTAATCTTTTTTCTGTTACCTAACTTTCTATACAATCAGAGACTATACCGACCGTCAAATTGAAAAGTAATATTAATTTTAAAAAGATAAATAATGAAATAGCTACCTTTTGGACTTTGTAATTAAAAAAAACTCTGTAATATGCTTGTAACAAGTATTGTACCTCTGCTTATTGGTCATTGAAAACCATCTCGATCAGGTTTTTCGTCCAGTTTGTCTGATCCTTTTAGCGAATGCTGAGATGATCCTTTGTTTTGCTTAGGGACATGCATGTAACTTCACTATCTGTGCACGTTTTCTAGAGTTCAGTGTGTAATACAGCTATTCAAATTAACGTACCCAGTTTTATCAGAGAAGTATGTTGATTCTATCACAAAGTGCACGATGAGGGATAGCCAAAATTTGTAGCTTGTTTCCTTTGTAATTTGTTTTTATTACACAGGAGCTAGTATTTTCATACCAAGCTTTGCCAAAACGCTCATTTCTTCCTGTATTCATAATTCGATTTGTATATGGGTTAGTTTAGATATTTCAAAATTTAAGAAAACACTTCTCCTCATAGTCCGTCACTTAGAGTTTTTAACTGTTTTTTGAGGTTAAATAAATTAAACAGCTAAAACATTTTGGAATAATGCTCACAGTGCTTTATGCTTTAATGCTTGTTTATTGAAGGCGACTGAAAAGTCACCTGACGCCAAAACAACGTCAGCTCTTTTGACTGTCAGCTCGTTTGACAATGAAGGCGAAGCACGACAGAATTCAAGAAAAATCGTAACAAACAGAGATATCGTAATAAACATATTTAGTGATTTATTGAATGTTATAAATTGTTCATTGACAACGATATGTAATGTGATGAAATGTGTAAATATTAATGTAAAGTAGTAAATGAGATTTTAGTCCCTTATGGCCGAGCAGTGGCACAGCGATTTAAAATAAATTAAATATCTGTATACTAAGTTAGCTCTTATCTGTCTGAATTATTAAAAAATCATTAAACCATTATATAATTTAAAAAAAAGATTTTTTCTAAAAGATTTGAAATGTACATGGTGTCACCTTTAGGATGTTATGGATAACAACATGAAGTTCTCATTACATTACTGCAACATTTTAAGGTAAAAGTTTGAACTATCTACAGATTTGTACAGCGTGTCCATATGGGCACGCCAGGCAGATAAGGGGTACAGTGATTACTGATAACAAAGGACGAAAGTGCTGTATAAAATGTACTATTAAATTTGTGTGTATCTAGTAAGGGTTAGAATTTATGTTATTTCTTAAGCTTCATCGTTCGAACATTCAGTATTCATCAAACTAGTCGAATTAATCACGAAAACATTTGTTTCACAGTGTTACCATTATTATTATTATTATTATTATTATTATTATTATTATTATTATTATTATTATTATTAACTCGAAATTACTTATTATTTCAGTAAAAAGGTGCCAATCTAATAGTTGCGATTATTTGGGGTACGCTGTCTGTGTTGCCGGCGGAACTTGCCAATGTAATGCAAATGGATTTCAATATGGGACACGATGTTACAGAAGCATTATTGGTATGTACTCTTCATTTATTTAATTTAAAATTATGTCTTAATTCAATGTCCTAAATTTATCCTATTCCTTGCAAATTTTATATTTTAAAGTACAACTTGATAATTAATGAAAGAGCATTATAAAATCGAATTATAATTCGTACAATAACTTCTGATAATTCTATAAACATAATACTCAATTTGAACGCGAATAATTTTTCTGATTAATTAATTCTTTTAAACAACATGGATAATTGATCGATAATAATATTTTCAAACTTTAAAAATATGGTGAAGTGTCTTTCTGGTTCCAATTGAATACTCGATGTTTACTCAGAGAAGCATGACCTAACTGTGCTCTGAGTTTGTTTTCTTTAAAATTGCCGAAATGGTCTTGATGATATGGAAAATGAATGCCATAAACGGCGTCCGGTGGCTAGCGTCAATAAAGGCGGTTCAAGTATTCAAACATTGCGTATGCTTGTTGAAAGCGATCGCCGCATTGCTGTTGTCGAGATTGCAACAGGGTGTAAGTATCGTATCGGACGGCGACCATCGGACGCTGGACGCGTCTATTTCGTGGACTACCATTATTTGGTTCAGTCCTGATAGTGCGTGAAATTTTTATTTTTAATGATTGTCTATTCTATCAAATTATTTTAAGATCGTTATTAATTTTGTGTTACACTGCCTAAACAATAACACATTCTTGTTGAAAGGAATGTCATAGATTTATTACATGTATAAAGAATAATCATATTTCATTACAAAATAGCTTATAGTACAAATACAGCCCTGAAAGTTGGATAATAAGTTGAAAATAGGCAAATGAAATAAAATAGTCTCACAAAGTTCTGTGCCAAGTGTTAATTTTTTCGTAGTCGTTAAGGTTATTTTAAATTCATGAACCCCTCTCTCTCTCTCTCTCTCACACACACGCACGCACGCAACATTTTGGATGCCAGTAATACTGAGCATGAAATTAACATGATTATGACTAGAATTTCGTTGTGATCAAAATACGTACTGTGTTTAAAATTGAAATACTATACTGACTCAAGCCTACCATTATCTTAACCAGTACAAATGTTATCTTTTTACTATTCCAAGATATACCGAGGGAAATTCTGTTTATTAAAGGTGTAAGCTTTCAGCTCTCCGTTTTGTAGTAACAACTAACCTACACTACATTATCCGTAAGATGTAAATTCTAGTTTGTCTTCAATATGCCTCAATACCAATATCTATTTCTTTGAAAGACGAAAGCGAGTCCGAAAAAAAAATTTCACCCATGTCTTCGAATAAAGTTGCCCTCGCTCGAACCCTTCTTCAAAAAATTGGTGCAATGCACATAACTACTCCGCCATGTTTCTTTGGTCTCCTTAAACCGGCTTACGTCCCTTAAGAGATTGTCCCTTAAGTGCGCATCTGCAGAAAGTGTAGCTTAATGCTAAGCGAAGCTTACGAACCATGATGAAATGCTACTTTGACCTAAGCTCGCTTATTTCTGCTAAATCATCACCAGTATTTTTCTGACCTTTTCCGGTTTTTCTATAGAACTATTTAACCTTACGGTGGTTGTAAGTAATAATGTCTATAACTATATAACCTTAAGTAGAACAAGTGGTGCTTAAACAGCACGTGCTCTTCGTATAACCTTTAGTAATAGTTATGTAATACTATTTCTCTACGACTACTTCAGAATGAAAACATCTCTGCACGATATCGTCGCGACAGAATAGCATGCGACATTGAACATGAACATGAAAATGCAATTGGATAATGTAAAGGTAACAACACTTCTGGGTCTTTCAATTCAATGAAACATCAAATGGAATTGAATACTAAATTTAATGAATAAAACTCTAAATTGAGTTCATTAAGTTACACATTCAGAATTCTCACAAATTCTGACAGACTTCATCCAGCTCGGTGCGTGAAATTTTCAAATGTACATTCCCGCCTGTGATATGGCAAAATATGCTGAGGAATCTCATTCTCCAACATACACACTTTTGGATTTGCTGAAAAATATACGAATAATAAGCAAATGCCATCCACGTGCTGCGATTTCTGCAAGCCTCTCTTCGTTGAGCTTGGAATCTTACCATTGTCTTGGGAACAAGGCTCGCGGCTAAACCATAAGCAAGATTTTCAACCAAATTGATATTCTCAGAACAATCTGACTAAAATCGCGATTTCTTGAATTAAACGCTTATAATTTAAGTTTTAGAAATGCTTTAAAAGAAGCCTCATGGTCATTTTCAATTTTTTTTAAATAGTGCCAAATTCGGGGATAATTTTTTTATAGGACAAAGAAATGTATGCTTATAAAATGGCTTATTTCCAATTTTCGTTGTATTCTTTCGTTAAATAATTTTTTCAAAATGCAAAAGTGACAAATATTGGGAGAATGTTTGTGCGGTTGTAGCTCTACTTCTTTTTCTTTCTTAAGTGGTACTTATTGCTAAATAATTATGAATCTGAATGAATTTCTAGAAATTTATTTCTGGAACAAAAATATGTTAATGTAATATAAAAATATATGCTGTGTAAAAATATTTATTTTATATTTATACTGTTTTAATTTTTTGAATAATTTAATTATCGTAGGTAATATTATGAGTGCTTTGGGAAATGTCGAGAAATCCCCGACTCCCGAAGTGAGGAGGGGACTTATTTGAGAATTTACAAAGCACGAGTGGTATTTGAAATTATTATTACACGAATGAAATGACGTCCAACAGATATCCAAAATGCGCCAAATATTGAAACTAACTGAAATAATGTTAAAATCAAAGATGTTATGTTATAGTGCATGAAGTGGAATAGTCTAATTAATTTTGATTAACTAATTCTAAAATTTACTTTCTGAATTTCCGAATTTTCCTCGTGTACCTACACCTATTTCTAGCGATTGCGAAACCTTAATAATCGCCATGTGTCAAACACAAGGAATATAATTGCATACATTTGTTCCCAGGTAAAGTTGGTGATAAATGCACTAATGACGATTTGTGCCATTTGAATGCTGATGGGGCGAATCAACACGTGTCATGTACAAAAGGAAAATGCACATGCAATAAACCTTACAAACCCAACAAAGAAAAGACAAGTTGTAAGTAGTTTTCATTTATTTTTGATTATTATTTAAATGTTTCATATTTTTGCTGCAACAACTAAGCAAGACGATAATATAACTACTTATATTAATTATAGTTATACAAATACTTGTATTAATTGATTGCATATATGACTAAAAAATCCATAAGAAATCGTTAGGATGGATTTCAAATTATAGAACGTTAAAAATTTTAAACGACAGCTACCTACAGATACTTTTACGTTCAAAAGAGAACATTTTCTAAAAAAAGTTACCAATATTTCCCATAAATTAACCTTTAATCTTATTTCTATGCGTCATTCTGTGTGTCAAAAATCATTGAATTTCCCGTGTACCTACTTGATATTTCAGTACTTTTGTATTTCAAGGAAAGTTTGTTGAATCACGCAAATGAACCAATTTAATCACCACAAAATTGTCAATCATTAGTTTTTTGGTTAGCGAAATACTTCACATTTAATAAATGCATTTGGGAGAAAAGATAGCATAAAAGATAATTTTAATGAACATGATATTTTTATTTGTATGGCATTTTCTACAGGTTCCGGAGCAGCAGGTACCTTCATTTCCATCACTACTGCATTGCTTGCTGTTGTGGCTGCCATGCAAGCGTAGAAAATGGTCATGAATAAATAAGGCGAATCTGATGAACAATTTTTGTTAAACCTGTTATTTCACGTCATATATAATTTGTGATCAATTTAAAATTCTAGTAATACTAAGAAATACTATGGTTAGGCGATAATCTGATTCAGTCGCGCCATAGAACTTACATGTATAGATACGAGTGCGTTCGCTGCGGGGCGCATTGTGTTTTGTTGCCTGCGTTCCTAAAGGTGGAGGGATCCCAACTCTTCTCATAATAACGCAATGCAAATGTTAAAAACTATTGGTATTAATTTAATGAATAAAAGTATTAAATAACAGCAATTTACTTTTTATATATGCCACAGTTCATACGTTTCCATTGATTTGATATAGGCGTTTTAATGAAAGAGAAATATAAGTTCATTAAGGTATCTCTATGAACACATCTATTCATATATAATTTTTCATCATCTTCCTTCACATGGCCATATTGTTCCTGATTTTTTCCAGATGACATTTGCGAGCTTTGAGAATAATGATATGAGAGAAACTATGCATACAATCATGCATTATGTATCTTTTATTTATTGAATTATTTTCGATTATTTTTGTTTGATTATTAGTTTTATCTTTACTACGTAGAACTCGAAGAAACCGAACAGTCTATGTTTTGCTATCCAACGCATTTTACTAACATAGTTTTCCTGTAATTGAATGTATTTTACTTTTATTTAAGTCTGATGATGATAATGTACAATAGAGACCTCAAAATTAATTTTGAGGGAAAGATAATTTATTATATAAATTAATTATTATTGAATTATACCATGTCCTAATATAATTAACATTTAGAGAAAAGTACTTGAAGTATTTAATTGTATTACATTAATTCTATTCCTACTTCTCTCTCTCTCTCTCTCTCTCTCTCTCTCTCTCTTATCCTGCTTCATCTATACTTCTCCTCAACCTTTTTTCCTACCTTCTTTTGTTACTCTTTCTCCTTTTTACTCTATCTCTACCTCCTTATTCGTTTTCGTTCTTTTTAATTTCTCATATAATAAGATACTCTCTGCATGTACGCAAATAACCTTCCTTTCCCTCACTCGCAACCAAATTCCCAATGCAACACATGCTACCACCACCAATCAACAAAATAGCTCAAAACTGAAAGTAAGATAGATTTTGCAATGTGTCTGGAATAAGGAACACATGACGTAACAATACAACAGTTTATTCGAGGTAAATTACAATGGTTTCCTTCATCATCATATTCCTTTACGGATGAGGCATATTGCATGATCAAGTCTCTTTCCATCTCATTCGTGGCCTTCCAATGTTTCTATTTCCTCTCAGCTTATAATTCTGGCCTTTACTGGAAGCCTGTCTTGCGGCATATTTTCAATATGGGTCACCTATTGAGGTCTGAACTCCTTAATTTTGTCATGTACTGTTTCTTTCCGCCCTAGTGCCTCTCTTATTTTCTCACTTGTTATTTGGTCTCTTAATCATAGCCCTTTACTCCTCTCAAAAATCTTTTTTCTGCTGATGCAATCCTCCTACAATCTTGTTTTTGAACCAAAGTTTCACATTCATGCAGTAGAACTGGGAGGGTCATAATATTATAAAATTTTAATTGGGTTTCTATTCATGCTTTCTTTTTACACGTTCTACTTATAGTTCCACATTTTGAAATTTATTGATCTTGCTGGTGAATTCCCTATCTCATCCATATGTAAATTCATTCCCTAGTTAGTTAAAATGCGTCACTTGTTCTAAAACCATATTTTAAAGCACAAACTTTGTCCTTATTGTTTTTTTCCTATTAAAGGCATTACTTTTGTTTTATTAACTGATACTTCCAGATTGTACTCCATAACTAATTGCTCTAGATCTCGTAGATCATGTTCATTTTCCTCAGAATCATCTGGTCGTCAGCGTAAAAAAAGTGTATTTAAAAATGTATTTTTGCTTAGGTGATCTGAGTGCACCACCTTTTAATTATACATCGCAGATATATGCTAAAGAGCGCTAGCGAAAGACTGCCTCCCTGCCTTACTCCTTTATTTATAATTCTCTTTCCAGCAACAAATCTATAGTATTTTACTGCCATATTAGTGTGATCTTACATAATTTTCACCGCTTGTACTAGATGATTTGGGTACCCTTCTTCCTTTCATAGTACTCCATAATTAACATTGGTTGACATTATCAAAAGCCTTCTCACTCTCCACGAAGGCTAAATGTGTCTCTCTGTTAAACTCTTTTCACTTCTCAATTATTTGTTTTTATGTAATTATGTCATCTATTGTTGAACGACCTTCTCTATACCCCTGTTGTTCTAGAGGTAGAGTGCAGACTGCAATTGGAGCTATTCTGTTATTCACAATTTTTGCGCATACTTTGTAACGTGAGTTAAGTAGGCAAATACCACAACAATGGTTTCCAAAAGTCACAATCGTATCAGAATTATGCCAAAGTGGTTGAACCACCAGAAACGTAAGCCAAGTCTAATTCCTAGGTAGCCGAACACCAGTTGAAGTTCCGAAACGTTGCTTAGTTATCACAGTCCTGACTGGGCACAAATTAGTGGATGAAATCACGGTCGGAGTATTACGCGGGCAACTTTCCTTGAACGATGGATTGAAGAAATGTGGGTAGAGTGGCGGTATTAGTTACGTAATCAGCCACTAGATTTACGATGCAATGCCAATCTCTGGAGAATCAGGCATGCCTTCGCAACTTTCTCAATAATTTGCGTTCTTTCTCAGGAGTTAGAGGTGTCTCCTGTGATCGATTTTCACCTGCTTCGGGCATTTCCATAGATCTTTTGGTGAGAATCACGGACAGAAGTTTTCAACGAAAAGTAGTTTCTATTTCGCGCCAGCGAAGATGTGTTTGGAATGTTGTCATCAGTGCACACTGCGAACTTTTGTCTTCAACTGTTTATTTTGTCAGAGAGGGGGAAACAAGGTCATCGTTCAAGAAAAGTTGCGCGAGTAATAACAGTTCTCACTCAATGTGACGCCCTCGGCTTACCAATAACGTCCGGGCCAGTCTGTCTCAGAGGTCGCGATAAGCCCCTTAAATAACGAGCGCTAGAACTCATTTCGACGGCTTGGCTGGGCGCGGCTGGCGCATGTTCCGAGCTTGCTGCTTCTCCAGTTACCTTTCAAGAGCGCGCGCTGTGCACGGCCTGCACGCGTCGAATTTGAATATCCGCTCTACACAACACTTTAACAATGACTTATAACGTTGTAATCTTTTCTGATTTTATTTATTCACAATTATGCCCTGCTTGCTCCACTAGTTCAATTCACGCGGGTTCAATGCGTAATTTTACTTACCCGACACCACTGCAATTGGTTGATGTGCCATTCGTACGAATGAGCGAGTGTTTATGGAAATTCCATTTGTTTAATATGTACTAATAAATATTGCACATAATAATTAATAATCAGCATTTCAATTACTCCAATTCAACTGAGCTCGATTTTTTTTAAAAATCAGACCTGATCTCTATTTAATATTTTCTAAAACTATTGAACATAGTTTTTTTATTCATTACACGTTATCGATCTTCGCGCGCTCTTCATTTTTTTCTGGTGGACATCGCTACGAAGATCTTCTTTCTTCATATTTTGTCCGCTCCCGTGTCATAATATTTCTATCGCATGTGCAACGCCGGCATTGTGGGAATTTGCTCCTCTGCGAAGCTGTTAACGATCTTACTTGATTCACCGACATAAAAATTCCATCATGAATAATCCTTCCATTCTTTTAGCCTCGAACGACGCTTTCTGCTACGCATATCCATCAGACTTTTCCATGGCTCCCTTCTACTCTCACGTCATCTTATTTATTTTACTTCGCCGGCGCCCCCATGGATACATATTACAAAAGGGTTCATCTATCTATTGTCACTTCCTAAGACAATAAGAGTCCCCAAATATTCCAATTATTTTCGGTGTGTCACAACGTAGTAGTTACCATTTGTCTGTACAACTCTGTAAGACTAAATACGCCTGAAACAAATATTGTGGCTCAACTTCTGAGTCAATGACACTTATCTCGATCAGGTTTTTCTTCCAATTTTTCTGACCCTTTGAGAGAATACTCAATTACTAATATGCATCAATTTATGCGATTTCTCCAATTTTTTGCTTGCAAACCAATTGCAAAAGAAAAATAAAAAAATTTAAAAAATACAAAATTTAATGAAAGCAGTGATGAAGCTTCAGAAGGCGCATTTAAAACCCACTCAGAAGTTTGCATTATTTCAGACATAGGTCGATGTTCGTTGCGATAAGTCGAAGCTCAGGGAAGCGGACAGTCAAATCAGAGTGGCAGACAAACCGATCCTACATCTACATATGAGTTATGCAGATAGCTAATTCTACCTGGGCAATGGAGCCAATAGATGGAGAACTGGGATTTTTGTGGCTCACCCAGCACATACCTAGGGTAGCGTTGAACATAGGGTTATGATTAGAAAAATTTGCAGATCCTATTTGCAGTTGGCTGAGCTCCTGTCCGAGTTTCTACTAACATACACTAAAGGCCACCAAAACATTGAGAATCAACTGGCCCTATACTGAAAAATATTTAAAGGCTTATAAGAAGAAATGCTCTAATGACGAGGTAGCCGCAAGGAAGAAGCTGGGATCCCTAGGGAGAGGGCGCATATAAACGATCCGATTGGAAATACGTTTTTGAAAAATTATAATCTTCTGAAACCTGATATTTTTATCTCTGCACTCCAAATGCGATCAAATACCGCTGCCAATAAATATACACTTTTAGAGAAAGGCCCATAGAGGATGTTTACTGTAGGATGTGCAATACAGCGGTAGAAACCATGAATCTCATCCTCGGATTTTTACGAAGCCAGCAGATTAGATTTTTGGGCACTTAACACGAAAGCGTTAATATTTTATAAAATTTCTGAAAAATGCTCCAAAAAATCCCCCTACAATTACAATATTCAAAATAGAGATTTTTTCCTAAATGAAATCAAATCTTTGATGACAGATATTGAAGTGAGGTCATGCACAAGTTTTCGAATATCTGTAATTTCACGTAATTTTGCGTAAAATGTAGGAAATTTTTAAAGAATTAATTTTTCAAAACCGGTTCCAACAATTTTCTTCACATTTTTTCTCGGATGGCGCAAAAAACAACATGCGAAAATGCTTATTACGAATATTGAAAATGTAGTATTATAATTTTAAAATTTATCTCGTACAAATGAGAGAAAACTGAGGTTGGTGCTGAAGAATCCTGTTAAAGCTGTACCATGAGCAATCATGGTGTTAATCTCGAACGCGAGCTCAGGGGAAACATGCTCCAAACTTAAAGAAATCGTCAGAGTACCACAGAGAACGTTTCTTGAGAATAGTATCCTCTTT